GCCACCTCCTTTTTGTTATTGTTGTTCTTCTTTCTGTTTTTCTTTCTTTTTTTTCAGAGCGGAAGGGAGGGGGGGATAGGAACATCAGTGATGAGAATCATTGATCGGCTGCCTCCTGCACGCCCCCTACTGGAGACTGAGCCCACAACCCGGGCCTGTGCCCTTAACTGGGATCGAACCTGGGACCCTTCAGGCCACAGGCCGATGCTCCATCCACTGAGCCACACCAGCCAGGGCTGGAGTCACATGTGACCCAGGCAATCCCTGAAGCTCTCTCTGCCTCCGGTGCTTCAACCCTGACATGGGAGTCACAACCGAACGTGCCTCACAGGTTGGCGTGGGGCTCAGGAGCCCACGGGAGGCTGTGGCCCAGCGTCCGGCGCAGAGCGAGAGCTCCGACAGGCCACGCGGCTCGCAATCCCCTCGCTGCCCGTAAGGAACTGGGACCCGGGGCCACGCTGTCTGTCCTGGCACTGGGCCCGCTGCCCGGGGCGTGCCGGGCGAGCAGGCACTGGCGGTCGTTAAGCTCCAGCTGGGACGGTGAGGGCGCAGCTGGGGGCAGGAGCTGGGCTGCCCGGGCTCCGGGGCCCAGCGGACTCCCCAGTGCCCGCCGGCCACAGGGCAGGCTGCCCAACACCCAGGCACCGTGACCCCGGTGGGCAGCCACGCCCACCGGCATCCTTTTGCACCCCATCCCCGCTCTGCCAAGAACCACGGTCCCCAACTCCGAACCACAGACAGAGCGGGGCAGCCAGAGGCTGAACCAGGAGGTGGGCCATCTGGTTCCAGACCCAGCTCCGGGGGCCAACATCCTCAGGGCCTCCCTCCTCCTCTCAGGGCCTCAGTTTACCCATCTGGACGTTGGGGGGAGGCAGCTTGGCCTCTAGGGCCCTCACAAGTCTAACAGCGTCTTCTGCATCCTTACTTCCCACGGACGGATTTGTCCCACAAATATTGAGTGCCTACTGTGTGCCTGTGCTGACAACTCGCTCTTCTCTCTGCTGGCAGGCCCCCCCCCTTCCTCTTCCTCCTCGGACCCCACCCCACGTCTCAGCTCCCAGGCCAGCCCTGAATCCCGCCCCTGCCTTCCCCAACCCCCCCTCCTTCCTGTCACAGACCTCGCCCTGTGTCGCCTGGTCTGCTGGTCTGCCTCCTCTGCCTGTGGCCTCCTGAGGACAGGCTCACATCTCGCTCCTTCTCCCGTCTGCGGGGATTCCAGAGGAAGGTTCTGGAAATATCTCTCGGGCCCACGGCCAAACAAATGAAACCGAGAATTCCAAATCCTCCCCCAACTCCTGGCCCCGCACAGCACCTTCCTTAAGCTTTCTGCCTCTGCCTCCTCTGCCCCGAACCACTTCCTGGAAGCCCAGAACCGTCCGAGCCCAGACTCCCGCCCCCAGGCGAGGTGCCCAGAAGGTGCCACAGGCACAGGTGCCACCTGGGAAGTGTCAATGGCTCTGCTGACACCACCTGGGGTTTGTCCCAACAGCCGCATGGCATCGATATTTGGGCAAGAATTCGCGCCTGGGGCTGACAGCCGGAGGCACCTCCCGGCTGCAGGGCAGAGTGAGCGCCCAGACAGCTCCGCCAGCCCTGCACCCAGAGCCCACGTCTCCTTCAGACCTGCTCCCCTCCCCCGCGCACGTGCACACGGACCTCGGCCACACACGTGCACGCCTGCCGTGGCGTCCTGCTCGGACCCTCCCGTTCCGCAAACACGTGTGAATTCCTCCTGTGCCCCCAGCCACCCCCAGGCACCGTGAGCTCAGCTGTCCTCGCTCCTTCAGCAAGTGTCTCCCAACAGCTGCGGACGCCCCTCCAGGCCGCCCCCAAAGGAGACCAACTGTCAGGCCTCCCCTCCGGGGAGGAGGGGAGACCACGGAAGCGTGGGCCCCAGAAAGAAGGCCCAGAGAATGGGAATGGGGTCCTGCCCACGGGGGGGGGGGGGGGGGGAGCACTGTGAACTGACCCCAGGGAGGGGAGGAGCCTCGGCAGAGCTCAACTCACCTTGGGACAGAAGTGCAGCCGGTGGCCTGGGCAGTGCCAGGGCCTGGCTCCCTGGCTCTCACACACACACACACACACACACACACACACACACCACCCACGGCTAGAGAATCCACCTCCATCCCTGGCCTGATTCCCCACCTGGTCCCAGGGGCACAGGGGTAGCCCTGAGGAGGCTGGGAGTGAGGAGCGGGGCTGGGACCGATATTGGCGTCCTCTGGACTCCTCCCTGCAGGCCCTGGTCTCTGAGCAGTTGGCAGGAAAGTAGTGGGGTGTCCATCAAATCAAGGTCATGTTCACCAAGAGCTGAGCCCAGAGAACTGACAGCTCGGATTCACCACGGCGATGGCAGAAACACATGGCTGATTCTGAGGAACGTGGTGGCAGATCTGAGTTCAAACCCTGTCTCCACCCCTCCTAGGCTGTGTGAACTAGACTCTGAGTTTCCCGCAGGAAGTCCTGGGCACGGACAGAATGGAGGCCTCAGTCGCCATTAACAATGCGTTCACCCAGTCCAGCCGGCGGGCTCAGTGGTTGGGTGCCGACCTCTGAACCAGGAGGTCGCGGCTCCTTTCCGGTCAGGGCTCATGCCCGGGTTGCAGGCTCCATCCCAATCGGGGGCATGCAGGAGGCAGACAATCAGTGATTCTCTCTCATCATTGATGTTCCTATCTCTCTCCCTCTGCCTTCCTCTCTGAAATCAATACAGATATTTAAATAACAATAATACATTCCCAGGCTCTTGTAATGAGCCAGACACATGGGTCACAGACTTGCCTGCTGCATGCAGAGTGCCCGTTGCTGGAAAGCCAGCTAGGGCCGCCTGCTTCCCTCCGCGTAACAGTGACGTCTCAAAAGTGAGCTTCAAAAACAAGTCGATGCAGCCTTTGTGTGCCTCTCACACTGGCGCCAGGGAAGCCAGAGGCAGCATATTTTTGTTCCTACACCACGCCTGTGTCCCTGTCACCAGATCTGCACCATCACGGGATTCAGATGCCCTGTGGTCCCCTTAAAATATCAATCCTGGAAAAACAGTCCATCCTGGCTCCTCTGGTGGCGTGGGGCAGGGGTGCTGCTGGTCACAGGGGCTCGGGCCCGTTTGTGATTGTCCGGGCAGCATGGCAAGACCAGAGCGCCGGGCCTGGGGCTGTGGGACCATGGGCAAGTCCCTCCGGCTGCCAGCGCCCGTTTCCTCGCCGGGAAAATGGAGTCCGTGCTCTCTGACTTCGTGGAAACCCTTGCTCCTGGCGCTGAGTAGATGCTGCAGAAGAGTTTGAGGAAATAAATCTGGAGAATTCTGAAGGGAGCTCTGGCCAGGTGGCTCAGTGGGTTGGAGCATCCTCACCCCATCACCCCGGCCCCCGTGCACCAAAAACAGGTCTCAGGTTCAAGTCCCATCAGGGCACATACCTAGGTTTTGGGTTCAATCCCCGGTCAGGGCCGGTATAAGAGGCAATCAATCAATGTTTCTCTCCCTCCCTCCCCCCTTCTCTAAAAAAATCAGTAAGAACATATTCTTGGGCGAGGATTTAAAAAGAAGACAGAAGAGAGACAGAGACACAGGATGGGCTGGCTGGGCCTCTCCTCTCCCGTCGAGGGTCGAAGCTGGTGCAGAGGACGGCAGCCTGAGGAAAGAGGAGCCACAGAAGAAACGCCGAGGAGAGGGTGAACCCCGAGGAGAGGGCGGCACAGCAGGAAGCTCACTCTGTCCCACCCCGGCCCCCACAGGGCCCACCCTGGGCTCAGTCTGAGAGGCCCTTTCTCCTTTAAAGGGCCAACTCCAGGACCCCTCCTCCAGCAAGCGTCCTGACCACTTCAAGGAGACCCCCCCCCCCAGAGCAGCAACCCTGTCTTCCAGCCCCCCCAGTTTAGAGAGCCCAGAGATCATAACCCTGTCCCCCTGCCCGATGTCTCAGTCCCCAGCTGGGAGGAGGGGGCCCACAAATGGTTCAGGACTAGAAGGAAAAATGTCAACAACAGCCAAGTTGTCAAGTTCCGGCCCTCAGTGCCGGGCTCCCGCCTGGAGCTCACAGTCCCGGCGGGACCCACAGTCCCAGCGGGACCCGCTCTGCCCCTTCCCAGCGGGGCCACCCCCAGACCCGGCCCCGCCCTGCAGGCTGTGGCAGGGAGGGGGCAGGGCGCCTCTGGCCAGGGCCTGGCCTCCCAGGGGAGCAGTCAGCGCCCCTGTGGTCACTGACAGTGAGGGGGGAAGGTTACAGAGCCGGGGTTAGGGCTCGGCGTCTCTCCCTGCGCTCTGGACCCCAGCAGGTGGCAAGGCCCGGCAATCAGGGGGCATGACTCAGAGCCTCCTCCGCCAGAAGAGACCAAATTCGCGAGGGTTTGTTTTTCCCTGTGGCTCCTCGGCAAAAAAAAAAAAAAAAAAAAAAAAAAAAAAAAGCCGAGGAGTCAGGCCCAACATGTGAGATGGTTGGGTGCCTCCCAACCTTCCTCCCGCGAGGGTCCCTCAAGGTCAGGCCGGCTGCCCCCACCACCACCACCCTGGGCTCCTTCCTGCAAAGGCCTCGGGGCTCGCGGGCCCCCGGGGGCGGCGGGGTGAGAACAGGAGCGCGGTCTGGCCGGGGGCGGGGAGCGGCGCACCTGCCGCAGGTGAGGCCCGGCCTGCGGGGTGGGGTGGGGGAGGGGGCCGCCGCGGCGCGCCGATGAGCTCACCCCGGCTCCGAGCGGCTGTGCCGAGGGGCGCCCCGGGCTCCGCCGCGGCCGCTGAGCGGGGGCCCGCGTCGCCGACCGCGGCCCCAGCGCCTCCGAGCCCCGCGCCGCGCCGCGGCCCCAGGAGAACATTCGAGGCAGCGGCGGCGTTGGAAGCCCCGGGTCTGTTCGGTATTTGAATAGCACAAAGGAACCGCCTTGGTCTGATTGGCCGGCCCGGGGGCCCTGGGGCGGGCCGCGCCTGTCACTCGGGAGGCTCCGGGCGCTCCTATTGGCTCGCCGGGTACGGGGCGGAGTCCGGTCGCCCGGCTAAATAGCTGGGGCCGGGCCGGCCGAGGCTCATTGCTTTGGCGCCGTCCGGGGAGCACGGTCCTGCGGTTGGCGCGCCGCGCGCGGTGGCAGCTCCTCTCGGAGCGCAGCCGACCCGCAGCTCCGGGCTCCGTCTCCCGTGCCCAGTGCGCGCCGGCGGCCGGCTGGAGGCCGGAGCAGCGGCAGCATTCGGAGCAGCAGCAGCGGCCGCGGCTGCTCCGCCGCAGCCGTCTCCGCGGGAGCATGGAGTGCGCCCTGGACGCCCAGAGCCTGATCAGCATCTCCCTGCGCAAGATTCACAGCTCCCGGACCCAGCGCGGCGGCATCAAGCTGCACAAGAACCTCCTGGTGTCCTACGTGCTCCGCAACGCGCGCCAGCTCTACCTGAGCGAGCGCTACGCCGAGCTCTACCGGCGCCAGCAGCAGCAGCAGCACCAGCAGCAGCAGCAGCCGCCTCACCACCAGCACCCGCACCCGCACCAGCCCCTCCCGTACGCGGCGCCCGGCATGCCGGCCAGCGCGGCCGACTTCGGCCCGCTCCAACTTGGTGGCGGCGGCGGGGACGCGGAGGCGCGCGAGCCGGCCGCCCGGCACCAGCTGCACCAGCTCCACCAGCTCCACCAGCTGCACCTCCAGCAGCAGCTGCACCAGCACCAGCACCAGCACCCGGCGCCCAGGGGCTGCGCGGCGGCGGCGGCGGCGGCCGGGGTGCCCGCGGGCGGCGCGGGGGCGCTCTCGGAGCTGCCCGGTGGCGCCGCGCTCCAGCCGCCGCCGCACGGCGCGCCCCACCGCGGGCAGCCCTTGGAGCCGCTGCAGCCGAGCCCCGCGCCTCCGCCTCCGCCCGCGCCCGCCGCGCTCTGCCCGCGGGACCCTCGCGCCTCGGCCGCCTGCTCCGCGCCCCCAGGGGCCGCCCCTCCGGCTGCCGCCGCCGCCGCCGCCTCCCCGCCCGCCTCCCCGGCCCCCGCCTCCTCCCCCGGCTTCTACCGGAGCGCGTACCCGGCCCCCTCGGACTTCGGCGGGCACTGCAGCAGCCAGACCACCGTGCTGGACCTGGACACTCACGTGGTGACCACGGTGGAGAACGGCTACCTGCACCAGGACTGCTGCGCCTCCGCCCACTGCCCCTGCTGCGGCCAGGGCGCGCCGGGACCCGGCCTGGCCGCCGCCGCCGGCTGCAAGCGCAAGTACTACCCCGGCCCGGAGGAGGAGGAGGACGGCGAGGACGCGGGCGACCTGGCCGCCGAGCCCCCCGGGGGCGCCCTGTTTGCCCCCTGCAAGCGCGCCCGCTTCGAGGACTTTTGCCCGGACTCGTCCCCGGACGCGTCCAACATCTCAAACTTGATCTCCATCTTTGGCTCGGGCTTCTCGGGGCTGGTGAGCCGGCAGCCGGACTCCTCGGAGCAGCAGCCGCCGCCGCTCAACGGGCAGCTGTGCGCCAAGCAGGCGCTCGCCAGCCTCGGCGCCTGGACGCGAGCCATTGTCGCCTTCTAGGGACCCCCGAGGGCGCGGGGGCCCGCGGGGCTGGGGCCAGACAAAGACTCGGCCGAGGGGGCGAGGAGAGGAGGGAAGGAACGGGTGCCCGGCCACTCGGGGCTGAGCCCGGGGACACGCAGGGGAAGGCGGCGAATGTTTTATAAATTGTAAAATAAAAAGAAAAGAAATCTTAAGACCTTGGACTTTATTTTTGCAGAGAAAAAGCGCCTACTTAAGTATGCTTTGTGTTTCTCCTACTGTTTTTGTGTGTTTTTTTTCTTCTCTTTTTATTGTAGAGATTGCAGTGGTGTTTAGCGAGGAGCCAGCCACGTGAGGGAGGGCCGCTGCCCGGCGGAGGCGCGGGGCGGCCGGGGGCGAGGCCGGGCGCGGGGGGCGCAGCGCTGGAGGGCGCGGGGCCCGGACGCTGGTCCCGATCCGTTGTCAGACCCGGGAAGCCCGGCGCTGGGTCCTGCCGAGTCCCTCCGCGGGGTGAGGACCGGGTCTTGTGAAATCCTCAGCAAAAACAAAGGCAAACCCTATCTCCGAGAGGGACGTGTGGGTCACATTTCCTCTCCGGGGGCGGCCTCCAAAGTTCGCGAAATGAGAAGGCAGAAATGAAAACACTTCAACTTTTTTTTTCCCTTTTCTTCCCGGCGGGTGTCTCGAACCCCTCCTCTCCCCGCCCCTCTGGCTCCGTTCTCTTCCCTCCTCCACTCGCCTCCTGGACTCGGGGGTGGCGCCGGACACCCCGGCACTCGGACGCCGTTTGGGGACGGGGTGGGGGGCGGGCACCTCGGACTACATTTCCCATCATGCCCAGCACTGCGGTCCTCGCCAAACAAAAAAGGAAGTCGATGCCTTCACCTGGATCCCCGAGGCCCGGAGGGAGGGAGCGGGAGGGGCCGGAGACTTCACCAAGTTCCTGATCAGACGTGTGTGTGTGTGTGTGTGTGTGTGTGTGTGTGTGTGTGTGTGTGTGTGCGCGCGCGCGCGCGTGTGCTTCTAAGTTGCACGGTCCTGGCTCAGCCCTTCGGCTGCATTTCTTGAAACCAGCATTGTTCCAGCCTGTGGTCGCCCCGTCCTGTGTCTCCAGCTCGATGGACCTTGTTTTATGTAAAGCCTCTTGTGAAGAGGTGGGCGCCTGCAGCCACAGCCACATGTGAACCCCAAAACCAGCTGCCAACCCTTCCTTCCCCGGCCCTGCCCCTCCGCCCCTGTATGTTTGTGCATACTGAAATTGTACATCACCGGGTAAAACTGTTCAGACTGTTTAAATTTATAACCTTAATAAAAAGCCGATTATAGAGGATGGCGGTGCCTTGTTTTCAGGTCGGCCTGGAGGTGGGGAGAATTGAGGGGGAGGAGGGGGGGCGGCGCTCCCAGCTCTCCTGACGGACCGGGATCTGCCGGCGTCCGCAGGGCCCGGAGTGGGGAGGCTGGTTGTTGGGGATGAAGCCAGTGCTGCGGGCCTCCGGGGTAAGGGGCCTCCTCCCCAAAAGAGACTGCCCTCCCCCCGAAATAAAAAATAACCCGGCCGTCCCAGGGTCTCCTGCAGGAAGCCCAGCCAGCCTCCCGCACACTTCCTGCCGCGAGGCCTGGCTGGCCTCAGTCTGAGCTCTCCCCGCGGCGGGGGAGGCGGGGGAGGGCTCGGGCCACGCCCCCTCCGCCCGCACGTCGCAAGTCGCACGTCTAGGCTGCAACTTGGGGAAGTTTTTTCGTTTTCTTTTTTTTTTTTTTTTTCCTTTCTTTTTTTTAAGTTGAGTTTGTTATCACTGCTCCGTGCCACTTGGTGGTGTGCTGGCGGCGGCTCCCTCCCTCCCGGCGCTCCTCCCCTCCCTCTCCTCCCTCCTCCCTCCCCCCTCCCCGCGGACGGAGCAGGAAGCCGGCGCGCTCCCCGCTGACCACCAGGATGACCTCAGAGAGGCGGAATGCGCCGGGGCCCGGAGCCGCGCGCTCCCCGCGGGAACCAGATCCGCATCTGGAGCCGCGGCCGGCCCGGGGGCGCGGGGTGCTCCAGCTTGGCAGGCGGGGGTGGCAGAGAAAGATGGGAAAGGGAGGAGGAAGGGAAAAGCCAGTGGCTGCTGGCCGCCGTGTGACTGGCTCTCCGGTCTCTGCGCGCTGTCTCCCCAGTGCTCTCGCGCTCAGTGTCGCCCCTGCGCCCCACTTGCCCGCACCAGCCACCCCCAGCGCGGCCCCCGCCCCGCCCCGGCCTGCACGCCTCCCGCGGGGAGAAGAGGCTGCTCCGAGCCCCCACCCCGGACCCCGAGAGGCAGGAGCAGGCCGGTCCTGGGGGCCCCTCGGCTCTGGGTCCCGGGGGAGCGCGAGGCGAAGTTCTCGGGGACACTCCGCGCGCGGGGGGCCGCCGAGGGCCGCGATGGGGGTGGGAGGAGAGGGAAGCTCTGGAGGCGAGAGTTACAGGAAGGAGAGGCGCTGCCTTCACACACACACGCACACGCACACACATGCACGCACGGGCTGTGTCCTCGGCCCCCCACGGGGAGAGCCCGGAGCTTCCGGGGTGGGGGCGTGTGTCCCCCGCTCCCCACGCTCCCCGCCAAGGCAGCGCCGCTGGAGGCGCGGGTTCGGTCCGCCACGCCGGCTGCAGAGCTCCCCCTAGCGCCGCCTCCCCGCCTTGCAGCCGCCGCGGAGCGAGTGGGCGAGGCCGCGCGGGGGCGGCGGGGCCGCGGGGGTGGCGGGGCTCGCACCGGGGGCCGCGCCGCGCGTGGATCCCGCCCCGACCGACCGGAGCGCGGGCTGGGGCTGCGCGGGCCCCGCTCCAGGGCCGCCCCGCGGAGGGGCACGTGGCCGCCCCTTTGTTGGGAGCGCCGACCGAGGCACGGAGGGGACCGGCAGCCGAGGGGCTGGGGAGCCCGCACCCCACCCTCTCCAGACCCCCAGGGCCCGGAGCGTGGGTGCCGAGCCAGAGCTCTGAGCTCAGCGGGACCCGGCCAGGCTCTCCGCCGGCTGCCAGGTTTTCGAGCTCCCGCTGCGCGGAGACAGCGCATTGGGGAGGGGGGCACGGGCTCTGCAGCACCGAGGAGAGGGGTCCTTACCCCGATCTGGTCAGGGCCCAGGCACCACGGGAGCCGCACGAAGGGTTACCGCCCGGCACAGCCCGCAGCGACCCAGCCCACCGCCCACCGCCCAGCCCACCGCACTGAGGCCGCCCGCGGACCCGAGGCCCTGGCCCTGCGCTGCGCGCCCCGCCGGGGACCCCCGCCCTGTCCCCACAGACCTCCAAGCAGCCCCCTCACCCCCCCGCCGCCCCTCCCTCAGGCCCAGCACAGCCAGCAGCAAGCCCGCGGATGTCCAGACACTGGACTCCCGGGCAGAGCACCCCGATGGGTGTGGGGGGGAGGGAGGCTGGTCTTCCAAAAAGGGAGGGGGAAGGTTCACACACCCAGGTCCACAGACCGGCCTTCTCCAATAGGAAGACCAAGTCAGGCCACAAGAGCCCCCAGGCAAGACTTGGGGGTGCTGCTTGGGGAGGTAGGGAGATTGGAAGAGACTGGAGGGCCCAGGGAATGACGGGGTGGGGGGCGCGGTGGTGGTGGTGGTGGTGGTGGTGGTGGTTAGGTTAGGGTTAGGGTTAGGGTTAGGGTTAGGGTTCTTGCAGGCTTCCAGGAAACAGCAGCCTGGAAGGCAGAGCTCCAGCAAGCCCTGGGGCCCAGGTAACCAGCACCCAGCACCACCGGCCCCTAGAACGCCACAGGTCGGATACCTGGTGTAAGGCCGAGCCAGGCTCCGAGCTGTGCTCCGGGGAGGCGGCCCAGAGCCGCCGGCTGCCCTCCCGGGTGTCCCTCCGCCCCAGGGAGGCTCCTCCTGGCCGCCAAGCACAGGTGAGGCGCCCCGGGGCCTGGCTGCGCGGGGCACCTGGCCGGCTGCGGGAAACGGCGTCTGACGGAGCAGGGAAACCCGTGGTGTGGATTCTCTGAGAGAGACGCTGGTAGCACCCTTGTTTTAGAAAAGAGAAAACGTACGAAGAGGGGCCGGTCGTCCTGTTGGGGTTCACCGCAGCGGGAAGAACAGAAAACGGGCTGTAGCACAAGCCGAGCAAGTGGCCCTGATCTGGCCTAGCGGGAGCCTGGTAAGTCCCAGCTGAACCCGAACTAGCAGGTCAGGAGCACCGTCCACCCCACCCCAGTGCTTAATGCTCGGTCCCAGAACCGGGGATAAAGAGACACGGTGGTCTCCGCGTCCCTCCGCCCAGGGCGGGACTGACCACTCCCCAGTGTTCCTCACGGTGAGGGACCACAGGCCTGCAGGAATCGGCTTGGACAAAAGTGAGATTTCTTGGCTCCAGGCTCTGAACTGTGCGGTGGGCAGGAATGGATCGGCTTCAGGTACACCTGGATCCAGGCCCCTCCCCCCTTTTCTGCGTCCCTCCCTCTCGCCGCACTGGGGCCTCCCACTCTCGGAGCGCAGACCCGCAGGCCCACTGCTCGCCGGAGGCCGCTCCTGGCTTCCCGCCTCGCAGCTTTGCTGCCCAAGAGGGCTGCCTCTCCTCTTATTTTCAACTCGGAAATCTCAGGGACAGACTCCCCTGTCCCAAACCTGCGGCCGGATGGGAGGGTGGCTGGTAGCCCCCAGCGGGAGCTCATGGGCAGAAAAATGGGGCAGTGGCCGACAGGCCCAAAGTGTCCCCCAGAGAGAGGGGCGCTCAGGGCCTGGGGGACCGCGTACCCCAGCACAGCTCCAGCTCCGGGAAGGCACATCCTCCCTGCTCCCCGCCAGGATAATGAGGCTTCAGGGCCATCTGGTGCCTCCCGGGTTTGCCACTCAGGCATCACCGGGGGAGGGGAGGGGGGCCACAGCTCCGGGGCCAGGGGGCGGGTTCCCAGCAGGCTCTGAGGCAGGGACAGCAACAGGGGCCACACTCAGGGGACTCGGGGCAGAGGGCCAACGCAGGGGAACTTGGCTGGGGCCCAGGAGCCCTCCGGGTGCCCCGGGCACCATGACGAGGCTTTGAGAGGAGGCGAGGGGTTGGCCCGCAGGGGGAGGCCCGCCTTTACACCTGCAGCCAGGAGGGCCCAGGACACCCAGGGAACAGGGAACAATCTACTCAAATGTGCAGATGTAAAAGGCCGAATAGAAGCGTGAAATGTTGACGGGATCATCGATAACCTTTGCTGTGTCACTCTTGCATTTCTGTATTTTTCAAATTTTCTACCATGAGCATGTATCACTTTTCTAT